ACTAATTCTAAGAACATTAAGTTATGCCTTGAAAATGTCACATGACCTGCTGAGCAGTCAGATTCAACATGAGAATGTATGCTTCAACTTTGATTAGCATTCTTTTTATTCTGAAGGAAGTAATAGAGTCATTAATTCTTCTAGGCTATATTTTGATGGTGAATCCCAGGCAGGTGTAGCAAAGCCTGCTTGCTAAGACATTCTGGATATGATTTATTTGGTTATTCTTTGTGGGTTCTTTAGTTTTCATCTTCCAGAAATGCACACAGGGTTACAATCCCTGATTACTGAAGTCTTTTTCCATGGATGGAGCACTTAAGTTTTCTCTATTAGTGTCTATGTTAATTGGTCCCCGTGTTGTGAATTCATATATGATCCCAACTTTATATTTTAGTAGCTTGGAAGTCATTGTCTTTTCATGGGTGTTGCCTTTTCAGATCACCAAGGGGAAACTTTTCTCTTCAAAACATGCATGAAGAAAATTTGTGCATGGCACAGCTGTCAAGGACACTATTAAGATAAATCAGCATTCATTAATCATTTTCAAAGAAAAAAAGTTCTAATAGATGGGCTCCAAAATAATGTATATTAAAAATTAGAGTCCCTTAGAGTTCTAGGAAATACAAGCAAGAATTCCTGCGTTGGTGCAGAGGCAGAATCAGTTCCTCCGTACACCTTTCCAGTTTGTAAAATAAAGACATAAAGTAATTGATGGCAAGGCACAATAAGAGAATGCGTCTTAAAAGGGAATAGAGAAGTATTTGAAAACAGTACAAGTCCTCAGCAGAAAATACAGCTCCACAGGGCACTGTGAGAAGACCCAGGCATTGTTAGGAGCAGAGCCAAAGGACAGATTATATAACTCTCTTTAGTCAAGGGAGGACTTGGACAAAATCTTTGTAAGCTTAACATAAACAGAATTCAACACAGTGTCCCTAAGCCATTGCTTTATCAAGTTGGCCTTCCCATTGCCTTTCTGACTGGGAGCAATTTTAGAGAACAGAACATGATTTCCTGTCTCTTCAGCATTGATCCACATTGTATCTACATGGGCAGCTCTCTGGTTGGCCCTTCCCCTGTAATCTGCAAACTGTAGTAATAGTTGTGCCAAAGAATGGGGTGCGCTGACTCACTAGTGTGGCCCTGGAGGCCAGTGGAATGTTAGGATGACATATTTTGCGTTACCCCATGATTTCAAAACAAAATGGGATAGAAAAACAAAAAATTGTAGGTGTCCACATAGATATTGGCAAGTATATATTGGCCAAAATTAGGGTTAAGGATATTTTAGAGATAGAATATGAAATAAGACAAAGGCAGAAATGCACATGCTATGTTTAAGGGACTTAAAATGGAGTTTCCTAGTTGAGAGCGGAAAGTTGTTCTCTGGGAACAGTAGCATCGTAGCTAACTTGTTCAAGACATTTGGTGCCAGTCTGCATTTGCCTTACAAGCAATAGAAGGAGATGTGTACGTGCACAGTGACTCAGTTTAAATTCATGTTTTTCAAACAGAAGCTTGTTTTAATTTAGCAGTTGGCAAACTTTTTGGTCTCGTGATCCTTTTAAGTTCTGAAAAATCGCTGAGAAGCCTAGAGAGCTTTTCTACATGTAGTTATGCTTATTGATGTTTATTGTATTAGGGATTAAAGCTGAGAAGATTTTGAAACAAAAGAGTATACCAGCATAGTTTGTTTGTCAGAGTTGACATGGTAGCATCATGTAGCTTCTAGAAAACTCTACTATGTACTTGCAAGGCATTGAGAGTAAATTAAACAGATAACATCTGAGTGTTATTATGAAAAAGAATGTTGACCTCTTGGATTCCCGGAAAGAGTCTTGGGTATACGAAGGCATTTGAAAACCACATTTTGAGAACCACTAACTTAGAGGATTATGAAATTAATTTAGTGGCTCATGATTAGCATTTATGGAGTGAGCTAAATAAATGAAATAGAATAGAATGCATTGGAATATATGAGAACATTTTAGATAAGGAAACAAGTTTTTAACGAAATTATGAGTCATACGAATGTGCATCTGTATGTGAGCACATGTGTATTTAGTTATAAGGCAAAATTATTTTTCGTATCAGGAGCCGTAGTTTGAAAATCAACTTTTAAAATTGTATTTAAGGAAGACTTACCTTACATTTTAGGATGAAGGTTAGATTTTAGGTGGAAAAAACGGGAGTTGAGGTAATACTTAGGCATGACATTGAAAACCTGGTTAAGATAACGGCCTGAGTATAAAGGGCCAACTTCTTTAACAAAGGAAATCTCAGATGTCTGTGATGAGACTGAGTGCTTAGGGTGAAACAGCAGCTCCACTACCAGACAATAAAATGGTCAGCAACTTTAGGTCAACCTGTCTTTAAATATAACTGTGCCTCATATTTTGATAAATGTTATTCTTTGCATTTACTTTAGCAAAAATCCTGACCTCTTTTCTTCCTGTCCTGCTGTGTAAGCTTGAAAAAGCACAATCCCCAGGTACTGGTCTCTTTTTGCCTTTGAAGCTTAAAGATCTGCCAGGAGTATATCCTACAGATATGAGAGAATTGTAGTGAGAATGAGAAAAACATGGAGTAAGAGCTCATTTCCCGTCCCTGGTCTAGCATTTTATACAGATATCTTTATTAATCCCGCAAGTTTTATTGAAATGGTCAAACTGTATTCAAATCATGAGGAAAAACAGCAATTTGAATAGTTGAGTGGCCTTTAGTTCGGAGGCTTTGAACAACTCTCCCTCACTGTCTCTGCCTGGGGAGCTTAGAGGGCGCAGAGGTGGGAGCACATCTCAGGCTGCTTGAGTCGCGAGCAGATTCGTTCATGAGTGCTAGTAGTTTTTTTTTTTTTTTTTACATTTGATGGCTTATCTGGTGAGTGCAAGGACTGCATATTTTAATCTTTTTGTGCTCTGACATTATGTGCCACATACAGTTTCAAGTATACAAGGCTCAATTGGTAATGTTAACTGATTCATTAAACATGAAAACTATAAAGCTTCTATAACCATGATGTTTATTCTTGAAATCCACTAATAATGACCACAAATATGAAGCTAAAATGATAAAAATTACCTTCTGTGGTAAAAATGAAGGTTCATTTAAACCCCAAATTTCTGCCTGTTAGAGATGAACAAAGGTAACGTAGATTTGTTATATTATCCATAAAGTATTTTGAGAAGTTTAAAAGTTTAGCTAATCACCAAAGACAGCACTACTGTTTACAGTCACAGCTTGGGTGTAAATTCTATAATTACATTCTTTTTGATGTATTAGCAGAACTTAACGGAGTTTTGAAGGAGGTGATGGTTCTGTTCCACTCTGGGTTAGTTTCACTAACCAGATCAGAATATTGATCTGATCTTTTTGACATATGATTCACGATTGAAGAAACAAGAAATGTTGACCCTGAAGAGGGTACAACTCTTGAAACAGATGATAGCTGTCTTCCAAGTCTGAGAGAGACGGTGTGCTTAGTGGGCATTTGTCTGGCTGCAAAAATAAGTGTTTAAGCTGAGATACCTTAAAGATGAACAGGGATTATAATACGGCGTGTGACTAGAGAATCTTCAGCCCTTGGAAGACTGGCTTCCTCGTAAGAACTGTGCAGGAATAGTTTCTGTGTACCTCTGAGGCACCCCTCTGAGCATTTTTTCTGGAGAGTATTTGCCAATCCTGTTGAGAGTGAATCTGATTTGTTTAACCAATAATTATTGTCCATTTGGGACAGAGTTTTACACCCCTAACCTCTTCAAGTGTTGCAAGCCAGCCCCCAGATGACATGGATTTGGATTTGGCCATTACTTTTGGTTAATCTATAGCCACCTCTGTGCAAAGAACCCAAATGGAAGGTCGCACATACTTATGTGTTGATTGAAAGTGGAAATCAGACATGAGAGGCACTTGTCCAAAACACCTAGCACAGACTGTCTGATGTGGGATGAAGGCAGAGGTCCAGAGGAGAGAGCTGCCACCTTGGTTGTACACTGCAGCCTGCACAGGGACAGAGAGCTGAGAAGACAGAAGGAGTTTGACTTCCCCTTGATACTCAGTTCAAGTCTTGCCTCTAAGTCACTGGGGGTAGCGGTGGCTCATTTTCCAATTCCCACGCAGGTGGCCATACAGAATGATGGCAGCCCTGGAGCAAAAAGATCAAAGCCACAGTAAAGCCTGTTTTTGGCTAATAGAAAGGCACGGTATTGACAAGTCTTTATTGAATTAATTACTTCTTTATTTAGCAGAATGAGTATGTTGAGAAATTTACAGTATGAATCTTTCCACATGAAACCTATCGAAATATGACCAAATTTTACATTCAATTTTATGTTGCTTATAAAAATCCTTGTTAAGAACTCCTAATAAGAATGCCTCATTTTGGGTAGTGCCTGTGCCTCAAAGGAGTAGGGCGCCAGCTCCATATGCCGGAGGTGATGGGTTCAAACCCAGCCCTGGCCCAAAACTACAAAATAAAAAAAAATAAAAAAAAGAATGCCTCATTTCAGAAAAAATTTATGGTGAATAAATAAGTTGTCAGGACTTAATTGATTACAATTAATAAACATATTTTGAGTCTCCAGAGTAGCTTTCCTTCTCTCTTACTAAACCCCCCAGTGAAGGAAGTGAAAAATACTAACTTTCTCTGTGAGATAGGGACTCTGTCATTTAAGCGGAATGACTGGGACCTCTGCCACGGGTGGCCTGTGGTTGGGGTCATTGTGGGCTGTGGCTCTGCACCCCTGGTTCTGGGTGGAGGCGGGTTCTGGTCCTGGCTCTGGGCTCTGCCACAAGCCTGGCAGGCTACTGGACATGAACCATGGCTTTGTGCACCATATCTGATGGAACCAGATGGCCCTGGACAGCTACCATACTACCCCAAGAAGCTAAAGCAGGCAGCCAGGAGAAGGTAAGGAGATGACACGCCTACACTGACGTGGCTCTGAAGCCAGACCCGCAAGTGGACCCGCAGTGACTTGGAGGTGCCTCTACCCACCCAGGTGCCGCAGACTATGAAGAGTCCTGTGAGAGCAGCAGTAGTGGTGGCTCCGAACTGGAGCCTTCTGGCCATCAGCTCTTCTGCTTAGAATATGAGGCAGACAGTGGAGGGGACACATCAGTCATTGTGTATCAGGACCATGACTCAGGAAGGGTGAGTGAGGAGGTGTCAGCACACACGCCTCTGGATCCACTGAGCAAGGGGCCCTCAAGTTGGCCTCCAAGAGGAGACTGCAAAGCACCAGAGCCGACACTGACCTGATGAAGGCATTCTCCTCAGGCTGCAATTTGCTGTTCTTGGAAGAATTCTACCCAGGGAGCTCACCCTCAGGTTGGGGTGCCAGAACCAGTTTGTGATCTTGAGATCCAGGGCTGCAGCCATAAGGGCATTATTGCCGCCTTCCTGGCAGCCATTCTTTCTTATATTTTGGCCCATTTGCCTAGCCTAAAATTCTGGAACTTTCTGGGAATTTTGTTTGGCTCATTTGGTGTGATCTGGCAGCAGAGACTCGAGGGAGAGCCAGGGTTTGTGGAACTTCATGTCCACGTGGTGCTTTCTCCCTAAGATCATGTGTCAGCCCCTGCTGTTCCATCCACCTCCGTGAGCCATGTTGTTATATTTGGTTCTTTTTGTCCGTGCTTCTGCTCTTCTATCCGTGTTTTCCTTGACTATTTATTTATTTATTAGCTCTCTCTTTTTCTTTTCCCTCATCTTTCTGTCTCAGGTAGAACCCATCAGGACCCCACCTCTGCCCCCTCGACCTGACTGTCCCTCCGGTTGCTCAGGACTTTGGAGGTGGGGAGTTCTGAGGATTTACCTCTCTAATAAGCTGTCAAGTAATTCTGATACCAATAAAATGGGAGACCTCTGTTTAAACAAAAGAAAAAAAGGAAATGAGAGGAAAAGATCGTCCTATAAGTTAGCAAATCTGTTTTTATATTATTTTAGGAATTTTTAGGGAAAATGGTCTTTCAGCACCAGTCATGTCATGTGCAGAGAACATCATGAAGACGACAGTGTGTTCAGGGAGATGAGTCGATGAGGGAAATCAGAAGAGGTGTGAATGTCAGACGTGCAAAACATGAAGATGTGTAAAAATATAAAAGGAAGAATGAGATATTTTTCAGGAAAATTTAATTCTCCCATGAAATATGTATTATTGTTTTAAACTTAAATATCTGAATCATTGCATTTTAGTCACATTATAATAGCAGGCATTAGGGTTATCTTGCTCATTTATTTACTTGTTCCACAAACACTCCTTATCTGTCTCCTAAACATTAACTTGAAGGTGGATGCTGAAAGACAAGAAAACTGGTCTCTGCTTTTGAGGAGCTTGCTTTCGAGCAATAAGAAATTATATCTTCCAACATGTTAGGCCAGTGTCACATTAGTAGATCTACCCTTTTAAGTCAACACAATTCCAATTGCTTATTTAGGGAAGCAATTTTAAAGTCAGCGTTCCCTGGAGAATAAAGAAAAATCTAACAAAAAGACAGTGATTTTCAAATATTTTGCTTGTGTTAAGGAGAAAATATAGTAGTGGTAAAAGCCGAATTTATAAGACACTATTTCTGGAAACAAAGATAATTAACTTAAATTGATCTTTTCAGACTCATGACAAGATTTAGATTACTAAAAGGGTTCTATTGTATCTGATAGTTTAAAAGCAAATATTAAAAGGATTTTATTCAACTATAGCCCTGCGATGTGATTTAAATATGGCAACACTGGGTTTAACTTTTCAAAAATTGTGACAGGGTGGCGAACTTCATCAATTTATATTATATGCTTTTCCTTTAGCTGATCTTAATGATTTCTTTTTCTGTAAAGTATGATTGTCATTAAATTTGGGACTAATGATAGTTCTTTTTGTAGGGTCCATTACGTATTCAGAGTTTGTGGGATCTCCTTCTTACTGTTTACCTTCAGATAAATTAATTCTATTAATTGTACTAATTGTACTAATGACTACTAATTCTATTAGTATAAAAATATTTGTACTAATGTGTTTTGCTGTACGTTTGAAATTCCAAACTCTCTACACATTAAGTAGGTCCGTGGGGCACCTGATATCTTGATTTTGGTGAATAATGTCCTGATAATATTAAATATATGGTTGTGAGCTTTTAGTACTTTGTCCTAAAACCTAAGATTTAATCTAGATATAATCATAGAATGAATAAAGAATTGCCTTAATGTAGTCCTAACATTAAACATATGTACAAACTTTGTTACTTCCTAAATCTTTTCTAACATTCATTACAATGTTAGAAAACAATTGCTAACAACAATTGCTGAAAATGTTGATGAGAACCAAATAGTATCCTGTTTTCTGCTCAAAGCTGTTTACTGCCAGTAAAGTTCTTTCTTGAAAGATATTAATAATACGTGCTAAGAGCCACTGATAAATTACCATCATGAAATAATAGTGTGGGTAAATTCATCAAAAGAGATTGTAATTATTTAATACCAACCAACACTTATTAATCATTTACTATGGGTCTGACATTTAAGATACAAAGATGAGAAAATGAAGCAGTCTTTTCGAGTGCCTACTTTGTGCCAGGTACGGATTTAGACTGGCAATGCAGAAGCAAAATAGTAAGAAGAGGAAAGAGAAGAAGTAAGAACTCGTATCTTATGTGTCTGGTGTAAGTCCTCTGCAGAAAATGAGGACAGCATAAACAGCATGTTTGAGTTGCTGTTGGGTGATCTGACAAGGTTGCTCTGAGGACAACCTTGAGGGAGGTTGCTGTGCGCAGTTCAGTTCACTTGAGCAGCAGCTATGTGAGGTACAAGGACACTAAACTGCAAAGGGGCTTGGGGGTGTTGGGGTGTTCGGGGGACTTCATTTGAACCGAAAAGTGAGAAAGAACAGGGTGTAATTCCAAGCCAGATGTAAAGCTCTACGCAGAAGCATGATATGTTACAACATAGAAGAAAGAAGTGACCAGTGGAGGTGGCCAAAGGCGGATTATTTGTGACTTTAAAAAGAAGGAGTAGTGAAGCAATGGGAACAAAACCCTACAGAAAATTTCCTGTGAAGAAGAGCAAAGAAATGGGGCAGCACTGGGGGGAGGGGTTTGGGTTCAAAGTAGATTTTTGTTTCTTTTTTAAAGTAGAAAATGTGCTAGAGTATTTCTGAATATTGATACTAGTGGTCTAGTAAGAAGACAGCCATTTGGGATGCAAATGAGTGATTTCATCTTCTCAGGAACAAAATCCTTCAATCAGAGATAGGAGGTGGGTGCAGATCACCATCAGAAGAGTTGACCTTGACCTTGGAGGGGAGACCAGATTTACTCACAGTAATAGGAGGGAACCGAGAGAGATGGCTACTGATGGAGGTGGGCTGGTGGAACCAGAGGCCAGAAAGTGGAGGCATTTCTTCTAGGTCATTCCCACTTCTCAGTGCTTGGTGGACACTGAGAATAAGAGAGTGAGTGGGGTGTAGGAGGTTTGAGAAAACTGGAAAATATGAGTAAAAAGTTCAGTATCATCGCTAAGCGCATCAATTAATAATCATCGTTGCAAGCATTATATACAGCTTCAAAATGTGGATCATATTCTCTTGAGCGGATCATGTACAGAGATGGAAAGAAGATGCACAGAAGGCTTTGTGCAGGGGGCGGCCACAGAGAACCGGTAGGGGCAAACTTGATGAAAAGTTTTGCCTTCATTCTTTCTACTAGGAAAATTTATTACTACTAGTGTCAGTACTATTTATTTTTTATTTGAACTCTCTATTGTAGTTCCTCCTTTTGGAACTATTTGGTTTCCTAAAGTAAAAAGTCATTCTCCAGGGAGTTACTGAATTATTTTATTGAGAGTTGTAATTGTTACTCATGAGCTCCATGCGTTGCTATTATTGTCGTGCTAAGTTTATCCTTTGATATTTTTATTTCATAATTTTAGCCTAATGTGGGAAAAGCAGAAAAACCAACTGCAATAATAAGGACTCATCAAATTTTTTAGAATTGGAAAAGACCTTAGAAATGGTTCAGGTTATCTCCTGTTGCCAAAGAGGAGAAATACCGGAAGTGATTGACTTATCCAACATTAACTCTGTTAACTGCTCAGCTTGGAGAAAAAAATCTCTAGTCCAGCTCTTTGTACTCTCACTATTTATTACTTTAAGGTAAATCGTTTCTTTGTTTAAATTCATAAGAGCTCTATAAAAATACATTTCCTATTCTTTAAGAGTTACTGGATTTTGTCCAGTTTTCTATAACATTATCAAAAGATACACTCTAAAAACCTTACTTCACATCATCTTTTAATTAAGGAAAATACCTAGACTGTGTGGGAAATGGATTCAGAATTCAGATGAAATGATAGATTTAAGTAATTTTATCCAAAGGGAAATGTTAAACATACAGATTAGAAATCATTTCAAATGTATCTGTGTTAGATAAATACACTTGCAAAATACTAAAAAAGCCCATATTATCCTATATTCTCCTTTAAGTTCGAGTGTATATGTTTTATTTCTTCATTTAATTATCAAAAATTTTAATTAAGTATCTGAAATAGCATTAAAAAAAGGTCAGAACCTAATGCATGTTTGAAATAGAAGCTATAATGGAGAAATTTTAAAAATAGGCGTTACAAAGCATTTATTTACTTAAAACCGTTTTTTAATTAAAAATGAGAAATTGAAAAATGATATCTTAACTTTTTTCTTGGTTAAAACAGTTTGATTCAGTTCAGAGCTAATTATTGTAAAAGATTATTTGCCAAACCAAAATATATGGTTTGAAAATACCCAACAGCAATAAACGTGATACAGAGTTAGGTGATTTAGCAGGGGGTGTTGTCCTGTGAAATCATAATATGTCATTCTTCGTTTTTTAACCATAAAATGAAGTTTGATTTATTAATGCACATAGTAGTTACAGTGCGTTTTCCGAGGAACTTGAGGTTGATTTCCCTTATCCATTAATTCCATTAGCACCCATTCATTCTACCCGCTGGCAGCCGATCTACTCACACAGCTCATGCCTCACATTTTCTATTAACTGATGTTTAGCAAATCCCACTCTCAATCTTATCAAATGGCAGGCACTAAATTTTTGGCAATCACATTAAAATGGAGTTTCTAATTGGGATGAAGTAACGTAATAGGTTGCATAGCATGCTCTTCTAATGTAATGCCCATTAAGGCATCTAACATTCGGAAGAGAGTGGAAGATTGTGCTTTTTTCCAGAGAAGATGTAACCTTTCCCTCATCATGCCTAATAAATGCCCAGGGGAAACA